ACCCCAAATCAATCTTTACTAAATGAGATTCTAAGGACTCTTGAAATCTTGAAAATAAAAATAAAAAAAATCTTCTTAAATATAAGAAGTCATTTTCTGTATAAAATAATTTTATAACAAATAAGCCCTTGTAGAAGAGCAATTAGATTTAGTATTTGAAGGCCCTTATAATTAGGAGGAATGTTGAGAGAGAGATATATAACTTTAGACTTCAAGCTGTTAAATATGCATGATAAAATATCATAGATAACCAATGGAAGAATGGAAATGTAGTGTACAACTTCTAAATCAATAAAAAGGGGAAATTGAATTGTAAAATGAGCAACAACAACAAATATTAATCAACTAAAGAGAGAGAGAGAGACAAAAAAGGAGAAAATAGGAAGTAAAATAAAGTAAGCCAAATAAGCATCAAGTCCAAATATTACACAATGTATAATATAACGCAAAATATAATCACAATAAATACTGAAGTATTAAACTTGCCAGTTAAAAGACAGAGATTTTCATTTTGAATAAAATCTAGCCATACATCGTTTAAAGAGACACATCAAAAAAATAAAGATAGAGTTAAGAGTAAAAGGATGGGAAAAGATATATCAGGAAAATGCTAAATAGCAGCTTAGGTAGCTTTACTAATGTTAAACAAAATAGGCTTTAAAACGCAAAGCTTTGTTAGTAATGAAGAGGGTCACTTCATAGTGATAAATGGTTCTCTTTTACCAGAGAATCAAGAGTTACATACTTATATTCACTAATAAAATAATCTAAAATTTATAAAGATAAAAATGATGGGGCTAAGGGGATATATTGAAAAGCCTGCCACTAAAGTGGGATATTTCAACACAGCTTTCTAATTATTGGTAGGACAAGCAGATAAAATGTTAATAAAGATCAGTTTGTCCCATTACTGGTGATGTTAACTTTGGTCACCTGACTAAGGTGCTCTCTGCAAGTTTCTTCAACATAAAGTCACTCTGTTTCCCTTTGTAATTAATAAGCAGCTTGAGAGGAGATACTTTAAGACATAAACGTTTAATTTTTCATTATTTTGTCCACTAATTTTACCATCCATTGATGAAGCAGTGATTACTGTGCTGTTTGGCAACTGATGATTATCTAATTCCATCATTTCTTTACAGTTCTTAGTTGGAATTCTATTGCAAAGAAGAGCCTTTTCTTATCCCTCATTTATTTATTTATTCATTAAAAAATTTATATCACTATGGACTCTTGGATGCCTTTCTCACCCTATGGGTAATAATTCATTACCATCATTATTTATTTTGTTGCTTAAATTACTTCACTATTGGCCATTGGGAGCCCCTTTGTGTTGGCTCCTGTGTCTTTTTGATATGTCCTCATCAGTTTTTGAGCATGATTTCTGGCATCACAATATTCCAGGATCATCTTGCGCTTTCCCTGCTAATGCCCCGAAATAAACTATTTCGCCCAGGAGCCCCGGTCAGAGAAGAACACTTCACACCGCATTCAAAACTTGTGAAATTGCCCAGAGAAGCTGAAAATCCTCAAGTATTGTGGGGGTGTTTGCTATCCCGTGTACCAACAAAGTTGTCAGTACAAGTTTTTTAATGTTGTATTATAAGGCTAGGTCTACACAAATGTTAACATAGTAAAATGTCAAATATTTTAACCTTGGGAATACAAGGAAAAATAGTCATCACATTTACCATCTGGGTCCAATGGACTTTTTATATTTTTGAAAGTTTAAGTTATTTTATGAAAGATTTATGGAAGTCAGAACAGAGTGAAAACAACAAAATAAGAATTTAAACATAGCAAACCAAGTTTTTCTTCCATATTTTCCTGGTTTTGGAGATGCATGTACCTGAAAAGGGCAATGACCTTTGAATGCAACTGTCTGCTTATCAGCCATCATGGATGAAACCGGAAAAACTGGAAATATTCCTGTCATAAATACTGATTCCAGGTTTTAAACACGTCTTTAATAGGCCTTAGCTTATTGTTGCTTCTGGTTCTTCTCGCGTGTGCTTTATCATGATGTAACACTGGTGAAAAGTTTGAAGGCTCATATGTTTGTAGAAAAGAGGATGGCCATTTTTTTGTTCCATAATTACAAAAGCATTTTCATTTTGGTTTCTTAAGTATAAATTAGATTTATCGATTCAGTGAACTTTTTTATTTCTGCATAATATCTGTCCTTCCAATCACCTTGGTATATACACCTACCTTCAGCATGTGTCCATTTATGAATCATATCAAGTAGATTTCTGCCCACAAATATCGTAAAAGATAAAAGGATTGTCACATGTCCTTTTAGCAAAACAGGATGTCTGGGTTCTTGTTGCAAAATATCAAATGATTAAGTCCTTCCTATTGAATGACTAACTAGGTTAGAAGATGATATTTTCTTTTTGTTTTATAAATATTTTGTTTGCTGTTTGAGTCTTGAGTTTGAGAAAATTTATTTATCCTAAAGACTCATAGTCCGAGATTTTGCTTATCCAGTCATTTCACCCTTATCTGTAGGGTCTCTAGTGTTTCTGTCTCGTTGCCTTCATCTTCTGACTCATCTAATGGTTGTGAAATGTCTCTCTCGGTTAATTTTCTTCTCTTGCTTATTATGGACAGAAATGAAAAATTGTGAATTCTTAACTGTGTTCAGTGAAACCTAAAAAGGATATGACAAAGATGGTGCTTTAGACATCTTTTATACCTTTTTGAAAGATGATGCATTACTTTGGACAACACAATAAAAAAACTGAAGGATGATTAAATAGTGATGATGTATTTATTCATTTCTGGGCAGTTCCATAGCTTTTTTTGTTTCCTTATTATTTTAGGGTTTTTTTTTTTTAGTGTAGTTGGAAATAATTGATGAGTAATGATGAAATTATTCCTAGAATGATGAAATAGCAAAATGTTTCAAGATATAGGATAAGATCAGTAAGATCCCATAATATATCTCCAATTTACAAAATGATTAATGGACCTAAATGATGATAGTAGGAGAATGAATTTTGTCTAATTAAAAAATAAGTAATTTTTCTCTTTGATCTTTGAAAAACCTCTAAGAAACAATAAAAGTCATGAACTACTAATCCTTAAAAATAGAACTGCTCAACAAAGAAGCTTAAAAACTAAAATTGGATCCTCATGATATTCCAGAGGTTAAGAAGTTTGATTCAATCAAACAGTGAATAAAAGGACTAAGTTACATTGGCACGACCCTTTCTTCCTTAAACCTGATAATACGCTAGAAGTGAATCCATAATGAAAGTAACCTCTGAGCTTTTTTCTTTTGTTCCATTGGAGATTATGTTGTGCTTTTTCAAAGGAGTATGCAAATAAGATGAGCTGTGAACTGTTGGGAAATTTGTTAATTGGAGTGAAAAGAGAAGTAGATCAGGAGTCCAAGAACTACAGCTCTAATTCAGGCTTGGACGTTAACTAATTGTGTTTCTTGGGCCAAGCAGTCCTGGAAACCATTCTCTGGTGGAAAGAGCAGTAGATTTTGAATCAGAGCCATGATGAGAACCAGCTTCTTCAGACTCTTGACCCCGTGGCCTCTCGGTTTTCTCTTCTTTACTAGAGAAGTAGAGATAATAAAATCCTGCCATTGGGGTTGTGAGTATGCAGTGAGCTGCTAGAGACTGAAAGACCCTAGAGGGCTGGAGCTCTCAGCCGTCTTTGCCTCTCCTTTGCCTCTCCTGTGTCTAGAGGTATCTAAGTATTTACTGGATAATTTGATACATTATGTTTGTATAAATTGTATATTAAAAACTGTAAAATGTTATACAATTACAAGGTCACTGTGTTTGTGCTCAATACATTTGTATTAAGTGCTTATACAGATTTAAGGGTTTTTTTCCCTTTATCTTAAAAAGCCTTCAGGAAAAGGAGACTCTAGTTTAATCAGTGCCTCTTTCAACACAGGATCATTGTTTTGTCAAATAAGGGAAAAAGCAAAGCTTTAGAGTAATCTAGAACTTAATATATAAAATTGTAGATCTATGCTCATTTAGCCTCATCTGTGATTGTTAAAATGGCAGGCAATATCAAATCAGTGTGTCCTTGTGTTTGTTCTAAATTGTGACTGACTGGCTCATAAGTTCATTGTCATGCCATATATTTTAGAGAGTAAAATATCTTTTTGTATTCTTTGAGCTTTCATAGTCCAAAAAATATTAGTTTAGTTTTCTGTCTTAATATCAATAAAAATTTCTTTGCCTATATTTTCCCTTCTCCTTTAACTCATTTCTTACAAATTTTCTGAGAAATTGACTTGAATAAATTCTTAAACCATTACTCTCTTTGCCATTTTAGTATAATCTTCACTTCCTGTGTAAGGAAATCAAATCTCTTAAGAAATCCTAGAGAGACTAATTTGGAAGTTACAGGCATTTTCCCTTTGCTGAGCCTTGTAGCCTACCCAGCAAAGGGAGAGACGTCAAACTTGGATTTACACATGTAACTTATTTAACTCACCAGTTAAATAAGAGTCATTGCTCAGTTCAGGATCTGACTGTAAATCAGACGAACGCTTATTCCAGCACTTTCAGGTTTCCCTGTGAAGTCACTCATGCCTCTGACAGAGAAACTAGGATCTAAGGTGTGATGACTGTCAGTTTGATCCACGAATTACCCCTTGTGGATATTGACTGGAGCTTGGGCTATCGATAAATATTTTCTCAGCCTCAGTGGTTTGTAAGTATGTGAGACTCTGTCCTTCCGTGCTTGTTTGACGCTCTCACTGGTTGACAGGTTCACAGGTAAGGGCTATTATTAATCTTTGGATGACATTGAGGTAAAGATATCATAGAGGAAATTCTTGAATTAAGGGTGAGACTGGACTGCATATCATTGAAGCGTCTCTCGTAACTCTTTCAATTCTATGCGTTAGTTATACACCAGCAAACATATAGAACAAGTGTTGCTACCATGGTACTTCCGTAATACTTCGCCGTTGACTGGCTTCTTATCACCTGTCTCACCCATTCTGTTGTCTACTCCCTTAGATTTTTATTAACAACGAGTGGCAGAACTCAGAGAGTGGGAGAGTGTTCCCTGTCTATAATCCAGCCACAGGAGAACAGGTGTGTGAAGTTCAAGAAGCAGACAAGGTATGTCCTTCTTAGAAGAAGATTCCCCATGAAATAACTACCTTCAGACAACAGAGCACCAAACTTATGCTCTCTAGACACCACTGATGTTCACTCGTCACCTTTTTCGTGAAGTAGATGGTTCTTCCTTTGTTTGGAGTGTTCTCACTCTTCACTTGTGCCTCTTCCTCTCCAACAGGCAGATATAGACAAAGCAGTGCAGGCAGCCCGCCTGGCTTTCTCTCTTGGGTCAGTGTGGAGAAGGATGGATGCTTCAGAAAGAGGACGTCTATTGGATAAGCTTGCAGACTTGGTGGAACGAGACAGGGCAGTTCTTGCAGTAAGTAGCCTAAGAAAACATTGTCTTTACCCCAAATTTACCATTCCACTGAGATTTAGATTCCAGAGTCTTTCTGAAAATAGGATGCGAAGTAGTCCTGGGGGACAAACTAAAGAGTATGTAATGCATATGAAATAGATGTTTGGCTTTCGGAATCAGATGGGGAAGTGGAGGACCATCTGAGTGTCTCTCACTGAATTTTTTGAAGAGCAAAACTATAGCTTCCCATGACTAGTAAGGACCTTCCTGCCTTCCGTCCCTGCTCTCAACAAACAAAACAAAACAAAAACAGCTAAGCAGTGGGAGAGTCACCACACTGCTTGCAAAAAACAAATACCAAATGATTCAGTTGAGAATCAAATAGGACTGGCTTTGCCCTCCCCGGAGTTAACCCCTCTCGACTAAAGAGAGCCCTTCAGAAGCAGAGGCATGATGTGGACCTCTCATACACTTTTGCTCTCTTTGTTCTTCCGTCACATTCTAGAACCAGCAGAAAGGAGAAATAGCGGCTTTCTTTCACTAAAACAATCATTTTCTCGCATAAGGAATTTCCCCTCTCCTAGTGGTTTGTGGTGGTTGTTATTTTTGCTGTTTTTAAAATAAAAGTCAATTTCTTAGAGAATACACGTTTTTTTGAAACTGGAAGCATTTTGGAATATCTGTGCTGTACAACAGGGATCTCCGCCTGGATGACCCACAATTGATCAGTTAATATTTAGGGCATCCTAGTTAGACAATGCCCTGTTCAGACAGGTCTTTCAAACCATGAGCACCATATCCTACTCTCCCTGTGGGAAGGCGGGCCACTATTGGGCTTGCTTCGGGAGAGGGACACGCTAGTGCCTTCCTCAGTGTCCCTTCTGCCAGGGCTCTTCCTCCTACCATCCCCCTCAGGGATCTGTTCATACTATGGGAAGAAAAATGAATCCTTTATGGAGATGGTTTGGAACTCTAGCTATAGGTAACACTCATTTGTCTATAAAAACATTTTATAATCTCATTCTTCAAGGAGTACTGTTCCAATCAAGTGTCTATGCATATTGTGAAAAAGGTGTTTCCTGATGAAGTAACTCCTTGGAGATTCACAGGACACTGAGCATATTAAAGATTCTCAAAAGCCCTACTCAATGTTTCTCAAACTTATTTGAGCCTCAACACTATTCTTTTGGCTAACCTATCAATATTGAGCAAAACTGAATTCTTTGGAACACCTTGGGGAATGCTGGTCTATATCCTTGTCTCTTCACTAGATTATGATTTCTTTGAGAGTGAAAATTGTATTTTACTTCCTTCTTTTTGTAATCCTAGCACAGTTGCTGACACATAAATGGTCAGTGGGGGGCACATTGATGGTCTATAATTGTCTGTTTAATTGAGTTAAATCTACACAGTATTTGTAGATGAACGGTATGTACCAGATGATGATACAGTTCATTTCTGCAGTTATATTTTCATGTCATAAAATTCAAATGCCGTCCTTTTTCTGACGTATGTCTCACTGATCAAGTCCGTTTTCCCATCACACTTAAATGAGATTCCTACTTGTAAACACTACCAAGCCATGAGAGGAATGAGTTTTAATAAGAGGTAGCCTCTGGAATATAAGGGAGCTCCTGACCAGAAAACTGCAGTTAGTGCTGCATCCAAGTACACACAATTGAAAATGACCCAGGCCTGGCAACTCTCAGGTGTATTCAGCTGTGTCAGTAGCTCATAGGGACCATTTAGGTGGCCCAGATTCTGGTTGTTGACTCTACTTCACTCTATGCTGTGTAGACCTTGGCTCTATGCCAGCTGCATGGAGAATGTAATGCCCATCTCATGGACATATAAATATTCTAGAAAGTACTGGGAAATAATTTGAGTCCCTTTAAGAAATGTGAGCCAATGTACAGAGATAAGTAACATGATATTTTAAAATGAATTTCATCTTATGTACATAGTAAGTATCCAGTTGTACTGTAAATAATACTGTTTTCATGTCATTGAATGGAGAATATTTCAGTTTTAGTTTTGTATCACTCCGTTAATTTTCACACCAATATGTATTATAAAACGTCCTTACAGAGGACATAAGACTACAAACATAGGTTTTTGTTTATTTCATTTGTTAAACTTGTAACACCTTTAATATTTTTCAAGTCAAAATACTCTTTTCTCATTTCAGTGTATTCATTTGTAATTCTTTTTGTTACAGCTTTAACCAGTTTAGGAACATGTCATTACAATAATAACATTCGTAATCAAAACTGCTTAATACCTCTGTTTTTATTAAATAGACCAGTTACTTTACTCTTAATAGATAATGGTTGTTAACATAAATATTTGCAAAACACCAGCCCTTAAGTTGTTAAATTATGAGCTTCCCTCGAGGAGACCTTGTTTATTTGGTGGTAATAAATAAGCTCGCTGTGCGCCATGGATATTCCGTTTCTCAGCAGGGGTCTTGGCAGCTGTGGAGAGCGTTTTATATTCTCATCAGTTGCATAAAGGCCCATGTCCCTGCTCCTCTTTACGGATTCGGATTACTGATGTAGACTCCAAAAAATCCCCGTGCAGCTCTGATCATTAATATAACAGAAGCTAGTTTGACAAGCAGAACATTTCTTTATCATCAGTTGAAGAAATGCTGTGTTTATGGATTTGGATAGTGGTTCCTGGAAACCCAGAGGCGCAAGAACATGCACATGTATATTCATTGTGGTTTTTACTGGAAATGAAACTAAACTGGCAGAACCAAAAATCTTTTTATTTGGGAAATCAAAATTGACCAGGTATGCATCACTATTCATATTCACTCGTATTCTCTCTCTTCCAGTTTTCTTCTGCTCCAGAAATTATTTAGTGTATCACTGGAAAGTTCTCTCCATTTCTTTCCCTGCAGACCATGGAATCCCTAAATGGTGGCAAACCGTTCCTGCAAGCTTTTTACGTGGATTTGCAGGGGGTCATCAAAACCCTTCGGTATTATGCAGGCTGGGCTGATAAAATTCACGGGATGACCATTCCTGTAGGTATGTGAAATTTGAGTACATTGAAAAGAGAAACATGAGGTTCCACCATAAACACACTTTCACCACCAAACACAAACAGCAGTCACATAGGATCCAGATCTGAGCACACTTAGAGCAGCTTGAACCGAACAAAGAACCAAACAAATTCCGTCACTAACTCTGACGACGTCCCTATTTCTGTACGTAGACAGTTTGCACATAAGTGCAGGGGCAAGCCACTTACATCAATACATCAATCAGCTAAGGAACAGTATGTGTTTGTCAGCTGCTAAGTGCTTAGCACTGTGCTTGGTTAGGTTCTGGGGGTGTGGAGAGGCATTGGGCAATTGGGAGTGGGGAAGTCAGGGAAAATTCCAAGAAGATTAAGACTTGGTCCTCGCCCTCCTGAAACATAAGATCTACTTGTTTGCAAGGAAATTCTATAAAATGTTAACAATTGTTGTCTCTTAGTGGTGAAGTTATGGATGATATATTTCTTTTTTTATATTTCCTGTTTTTATTGTTAGTGCCATCAAGTCAATTCTGACTCCTAGCGACCCCGTGTACAGCAGAGTGGGACCCTGCCCGGTCTTTTCACATCATCCTCTCACCTTCCAGCGCTGTATCAGACAATACTCCACTGCTGTTCATAGGGTTTTTGTGGCCAATTTCTTCGGAAGTGGGTGGCCAGGTCCTTCTTCCTAGTCTGTCTAGTCTGGAAGCTCTGCTAAAACTGTCCACCATGGGTGACCTGCTGGTATTTGAAATACTGGGGACATAGCTTTCAGCATCACAGCAGCACGCAGCCGCCACAGTATGACAACCGACAGACGGGTGGTGTAGTGTCCTGATAGGGAAACAGACCCAGGCTGCAACAGTGAGCGTGCCCAATCATGACCTCTAGACCACTAGGGCTGGCTGTGTTTCCTGTCACGACCATGAATTACTTGCACAATCTGCAATAACTACAACCATCCTTACACATTTTTTTTCCTTTTTTTTTTAAGATCCAGGTTAGGAGATAACACTGACAACACAAAACAAAGATCCCTACAGGAGAGTCACAGTCAGGTGCTAAGTCGCGTGGCGTGGCCTGTCAGTGCTGCAGTGCTTTAAAGGAGAGAGAAAGTATCCAAATTCCATCAGTCAATGGAAAGGTCTTGCTCTGAGCATGAATACTAGTGATAGCTAATACGAAATTGAGTGCTTCCGCAGCATCTCCAAAGGGAAAGTATATTGTAACATCCTCATTGACAGAGGAGGAAACTGAGGCGTAGAGAAGTTAAATAGTTTTCCTAATTCACACAGCGAAGAGTTGCAGAGCTGAAATTTTGACATTAGAGCTTGGTGAATTACTTCAGTAAAGGATCCATTTGAGATACAGGGAGGAAGAGATGGCATGACTGAAAGGGACCGACAGAAAGAGATTTGAGGATGTCAGGAGTAGTGAATAGATATAAGGAAAGAAATACGTGTTTATCGAGCGGCTCCCAGATGCTGCTAAGTACCATGCCAGGTACTCTACCTGTGTTCTCCAGAAAACAGCCTGCTCTCTATGTGCATCCCAGGAAGAGTGGAAGGGATGCTGGCACTTTGGAGCGCCCTGTTAGGGCCTTCCTAGGCTGGGGAGTATTGATTTACCAGAAAAGCGCATGGTTGGCTGACAGTGCAGATGACTTAGAGCAGTGCTTCTCAAAGTTTAATGTGCACATCTATCCCCTGGGATCTTCTTCAAGTGCAGTTTCTGATCGAACAGGTCTGGGGCGGGGCCTGAGATTCTGCATTCCTAACCAGCTGCCAAGTGATGCCTATGCTGCTGGTTCTCTGCCTTGAGTAGTGAGGATACAGAGCCCAGCAGCACCCAGGTGGCTGTTGTGATGCCCCATTTAGGCCTGGGGCAGAAAGAGAAGAAGTCACAATGAGAGTGGAGAAGGGACAGAGAAGAGATTTCAAAGGACTGTTTTCAAATGATCTCCATGAGTGATGGCAACATGTGGAACATTAGTCTTTAGATAATGGGTTTCCGATTATAGGTACTCTTCCCCAGCATCCCGAGGGTTCCCTTGTTCAGCAGGCTCAGAAGGATGGAGAAGATTACTTTTAGGGGATGCCAGCATCTTAGTTCAGTCCTGGCTCTAAGGATATTACAGAACCACGCTTCTCTAGCATCACTTGCAGGATTTGGGAATGACCTAAGTGAGGCCAAGTCACTATTTGGTGCGAGCATACCTGTTGGAGGGCCTAGGAATTGAAACTTCATCAAAAACAGAACATATATATGGTGATGGACAAAAGTTAGACTGTCGGTGGTGAGCACGAAGCAGTGTTTACAGAAACTGATAAATAATAATGTGCACCTGAAATTACACAATGTTATAGACCATTATGACCTCAATAAAATAATTGGGAAAGAGAAAACAGGACGTATGTCAGCCTTCTTAGGTTGGCCTCTCCTATTTCAATGCAAAAAGATAAATTAGCAGTATCAAAGGCCCTAGTTTTTTTGCTCCCCCCTCCCCACCTACCATTTCACTATTAAAACAGCAAATATGTTTCCGGCCTTTAAATTTATCTTTTCAAATGATTTGCAGATATCTTAGAAGTAAGGTGACAAGGAAGGTTATACACATAAATCTCATTTGTCCTACCAATGTCTTAGGTTTTTTTTCTTCTTTAGGAGACAGGACCCTGGTTAGATAGATTTGGTGGAGTCAATGATAATGTTTGATGCTTTACTCTAACTTTGTCTGACAATAGAAGTGATTGGTCCATAAACTCCACTGTTTTCATCTGATGCTCTTCAGAGATCCTGAGGATGTTGACCTAGGAGTTAGAAATAAGGGCTTAGAAAAGGCTTTCACAGTAGCCTCTCCCGTCTTTACTCATCAACTGGTGTTCAGCCTGTGAAGGGAAAAAAGTGAGGAATTCTCTTAAATGCTAAGTAAATTTTTGTCTCCCTGATTTTTCTTGGAGTGCGTTTAGAGGGATACCAGGATGAGGGACTCTCCGGGGAGTCAGGTCTGTAGGCAGACCTCCTAGGAGGCCGGGGCTTTGGCATGTAAGGGCTCTTGCTGTGGTCCCTCAAGTGGATGAGGAGAGGATGGAGGCAAATGTGAACTTGGCAGCTTTCCTTTCTGTTCCTTGGGCTTGCCTGTGGGCTACTGAAAAGTCAGCTTACGGCCCCTTTGGCTAGCTCAGTGTTCAGTGAAGCTAGCTGGACTAAACCAGGGGGGCTGTCCAGGAAGATCAGGGAAATGGGGTGTCATTATTATTCGCTTATTTATTCTCAAATTTGTTCAGTCAATTCTTTTGTGTTTATATGTCATTTGTAACCCCATAATTTAACATCGGTTTGATTTTGTCTCTGCATTCTTGGCTTTTTCCAGTGAAATCTGGAATGTGAGAAGGCTGTTAGCCTTTAAGCATGAGGTCGTTACTGTGTTACGTGCATTTCCCTGTGAAACCCCCTAATTTTGAGTTTGGAACTATAAAGGAATATTGCATGTTATATTTGCATAGCACTTGAGAATGTAGAATGTTTTTTCACATACAGAATCTATGTGATTCTGTGAGAAAGATTGGATTTTAAAGGGTCTTGTACCCATTTTACAGGTAAGAAAATGAGACAGCGAGCAAGGGTTTAATGTGAACAAGGTCACGTGTCTAGTAAGTGGCAGGCCTGAGATTCAAACTCAAGTCTTTTTCTGGCTAAGCCGCTATCTAGACCCTCTTCTTATAGAGACCAGTTTAGCAGGGCAGGAAGAGGAAGAGACCAATCTCCCCAGTGATGTCTTTAACCCTCTGCAGATTTTTAGATTAATGCACAGTTGAGTCTCGTTATTCATGGTCGTTACATTCTGTAAAGTTGGCGTGGACACTGAGTTACTGAATACTGAACCATAGCCCTTAGAGGAAGTACACAGTTCTGTCTGATCACCCATGAAAATAAAATTGAAATTTTTTTTAATATAAGATTACTTTGTCATATTGAATTATACTCCCTGGTTCATCCAGCTTAGCTTCTCCGACACTAAAGGGTAAGAACCAAAAAGCATGGGAAGAATTATGCTGTTATCTTTTCCACTCCTTCCCATTTAGGAAGGCCGGGCAATCTACCTTATGATGGGAAGAGCTCTCCCTTCACCTCCTCTGCCAGGCAGCAACTTCAGCCTCTCAGTCATTCCCTCATTCCTTCATACATTCATTCATTCTACAGATATATTTTTTTTTGAGTACCTGCTATGTTTAAGGTCCTGTGTTAAGCACTGGGGATACCAAGGTGAGTAAGTAAGATGCTCATAGAATAGGAAGAAAAACAAGTAGACAAGCAATTGCAGTGTAGTGTGGCTTATTCAAATATGATAGCATGACAGTCAATGGGACTCCGTAAGAGAAGCATCTCACCCAGCACTAAGGCTTCTTGGAGAAGGAAGTGGGATGTACACGATGATACCTGAAGGGCAGGTAAGTGAAGATGGAGACAGGGCCATCACAGGTGGTGGTAATAGCCTGTGCAAAGCATGGAGGGAAGACAGTACAGTGCGGTAGTGGATCTGAAAAGATAGCCAGATATAGAGGACAGTGGGGCTCTGGGCCTGGGTAAACCATGCTACAAGTTTTATTCCATAGCAATGGTGAGTCACTGAATTATTTTAAATAGATGAGTGCCTTGATCAAAAATTCATTTTAGAAAGAGCACTTTGGGGGCCAGCCCCATGGCCAAGTGGTTAAAGTTCCACGTGCTCTGCTTTGACGGCCCAGGTTCGCAGGTTCGGATCCTGGGTGCAGACCTACTCCACTCATCAGCCATGCTGTGGAGGCATCCCACATATAAAGTAGAGGAAGATTGGCACAGATGTTAGCTCACAGCTCATCTTCCTTAAGCACAAAAAAAGAGGAGGATTGGCAACGGATGTTAGCTTAGGCTGAATCTTGCTCACAAAAAAACGAGAAACAAAAGGGTGGAAAGAGCACTTTGATTACATAATGGATAATCAGTTGGAGAGAGCAAATATTCTGCA